GAGAAAAAGGCATGCTGTTTGTCAGGTTGGTAAAATTATAGCTTGATTCTCAGCCTTCAACATATAATGACCTAGAAACAAGGGATATCACTTAAGTTCTATGGATTCTATAATCTTGTCTAAAAAACTAATAGAAGCCACCTGGGTAATAAAAAGTTCACACCCAGATATGGTTACATAGCAAGTTCACAGCCAGCTGGGGCTATTTACTGCACTATCTCAAAACAAACAAGCAAACATCATTCTCACACATTAATAGTTTCATGATTATTATAAATCCAGAAATATGAATTCCTTTTCTCCTGTGTTTCCTAAAATCATCCCAAATAACTAGCACAAAGTCTTCTTTTATTAGTAGATCCTAAATAAATAGCAATTGTTGGTTATATATAAGTGTCATTTGCTTTAATTGGTAAAGCGAAATAACATAAAAAGTTGAGGCTAAGTCTTTGAAATTAATCTTTATTGAAAGTAATTAACAGAAATTAACAGAATTGAAAATTGAAAGTGATTCTAGTCAGGTATATGTAATGCTGACATTTATCATGGCTAACATTGGTATCCAATGCATTCAGGATAAATTTGCCTTGCTCTTATAATTAAATCTTTATTATTCTGTCAAATTAGAATATCAATGGAAAAATATAGAATTTCTCTATCTCTTTGCCTGAGGATGGAAGAAATTGGAAGAAAGAAAAAACAAAAAGAGGATAACTATTGTATTAGCTTAGAAAATCCTCACAGGTAAAAGAATCAGTTGTAGAAATGCTATCTTTTGTTGACATATTTTAAGATCAATTGATGATTCTGAGGTGTAGACACTGATTATCAGATGATATACACAAAAATTTATCTTACATCTTAAGTGATGCACTGCAATATATGTAAAATTTAGTCTGGGTATATCATTTTAAAACATACATGACACAATACACATAGTATGTCAAATATAGTTTATAATCAATATCTGTTTTTCATGTACCAGCAAACTGTTTCAGGGATCTGTTATAAAGTGTCAAATGACAAAGCTAGATGGTTTTGAGGACTTGTAATGTGGGAAGATGAGAGTTTTATTATTATAAATTTTATTAGCTTGAAAACAATTACATTTCATGATGACATTTTTCTTTTCTAACATGATGATTTTTTTAAACGTTTACTAACTCCTAAAGATTAGAAACATGATCATTACATTAACTTTAATAGAAATGTTCTGTATGAATGATTAAAAGCTGATCCAAGAAGTCATCGGTTTTCAAATTCAATTCCAAGTGCTAGGAACTGTATGACTTTCTCTAAATTATTGACCAGATGTCCCAGAAGGGCCGAAAACATTTGAAGAAGTTGCCATTGTACTTGATTGTCTACGCAAAAGATAGTAAGATCCTGTTTCTGAAGAAAACACACATCTTGATAAAGGACACAAAGAAACCAAACTGGAATTGAGCTGGATCTTTTTCTCTGTTGGCTAGCACTCAAACTACAAGAGGGTAGTATGCAAAGACAGGGAAGAGAAAAATAACCAATGATCACACCCCGATGTAGACTGTGCATGATAAAATACTGAACTGTCTGAGCCAAACATTAGGCAGATCTCAGGGAGTCTTATGGAAGAGCCAGGTCAAGGATTGAGGGTACTGGAGGGGTCAAAGACACCACAAAAGACCTACAGCGCCAACTAACTGGCCCCATGGAGCTCACAGCAACTGAATCACCAATGAAAAAACATGCAGAGACTGGACCTAGATGCCCTACACATATATAGCAGATGGATAGTGGCCTTCATGTGGATTCCCTAACAATTGAAGTTGGGCCTATCTCTGAGTCATATTTTGATGTCTTCCTTTAGACTCCTTTCTCCTAGCTAGGCTTCCTTGTCTGCCCTCAGTGGGAGAGGATATGCTTAGTGCTGATATGACTTCACATGCCAGGCCTGGTTGCTATGGGGGGTTAGGGAGGAGCTTTTCTTCTGGGGAATGGGAGAGTGGGAGTGGGAGGGAAGACTGGCAGGAGAGGAGCAAGGGGAGCTGTGATCTGGATATAAAATGAATAAATAAAATTACTTAAAACAAAAAGAAAGAGAAATAAGCAGCATATGCATAGTTCTCCAGTTTTATGCTTTTGTTCCCCATTAATTTAGCAATCATGGCCCCCTTCTTTCTCTCCTCCTTGTCCCAATTTCACAAACCTCTTTTATTATTGCCTCACTCAATTCAAGAAAAGAACAAGCTATGTGCACTTTTTCACACCATTCTAAAGTGAAAACACCAAATAAGCCATCATAAAAAAGAAATAATCAGCAAATAACTACAAACCACCACTTCCTTAACCTTCTAGAGCTTTGCCTACCACCCATTTTTGCCTTACAAGGATTACTTAACGCTCCTTGGTCTGTTAATCTGCCAGAACTGAGGCATGACCTCTTCTTTCCTATGTAAAGAATAGAAATCTGCAAAACTGTGCTGAGAACCACTGGAGATGAGACAGAGACACAAAGACATTAGGACTCAAAGCAATAGCAAAGATCTCTGGGAACCAGAAGATGTATTGAAAATCATACCCCTGAAGCACATAAAGAAAAGAGTGGATAGGGTATTTGGATTGCCAGCTGAAGGTGCATAGTGCCAAGCCTGAATAACGTGAGTTTCATACCTAGGATTTACATGGTGGAAGAAGAGGAATGACTCCTGCAAACAGCTTTCTGACATGTATAAGTGCACTGTGGCGTATGTACACATGCATGTGAACACATATACACAGAGTAAATAAAGGTAAAAATTTCAAAAGAAAAATAAAACCCAGAGACCTTACCTCCTTTGACTAACAAGAGGAGGTAAATAAATGCTTTTGTCCCAACTGCCAAACGTGATTACCCTCCTCACCTCCTCCTTCTCTATCTAATCACCCTCATATCACTTGAAGTTTGTTTTATGGCACCATTTCAGAAAATGCTGATGTGCTGTAATAATACTGGGACCAAAATTCAATGTTGCATATTCAAGGAAAAGAGGACATCAGAGAACTATTATACTAAATAGCCTGGCACAGTGTAATGAGACAGAATCTGATAAGGCAACTTAAAATGTCAAGGAAATATGTAGGTCAGAATCTTAGTTTGAGTGAGTATTAAAATGTCTTATTGTAATCCCAGGACTTTCTTCTTTTTTCACCCAAAAGTTGTGAACTTGTCTAAGACCCCCCATAATTAGACATCCAAATTCAAAACTCACATAGTTGGGATTGAACATAAGACGCCTTCTCTAACTAAACAGAGAAGGGGGAGATGCCAGAAGCCAGGACCCTCGCCCTTACCCTTACCCCCTTCCTTTCCCCACCTGCACAATGTCCTCTGAAGCTTGGCAACTGCAAGATCCTGCTTAGCAACTGCAGATAGACTCAAAGCAGTGTACCATATCATCTTAAGAATAGCAGGGAGACCATAACTCAAGCAGTGTACCATATCTTCTGAAGAACAGCAGGTAGATCATAATTCAAGGCAGTGTACCGTATAGACCATGACATGTTTCAAGGCACAGGCCAAGAAGATTTTGTACTTTTCCACCACCTGGACCCTCTTACCCCCTCCCCTTGTAAAACATGCTATAAAAAAGCATTTCATGCTCAAAAAAAAAAAAGAAATTAAAAAAAAATGAAAAAAAAAAAAAAGATGGGCATGATATTATCTAACTTCCTCTGGGAACATATGCAGCGACTATGTGCTGGACTTTGGTTGATTAAGTCTGTCAAGTAGTGAGGAGGTCTTGGGTACCCATATTAATCTTTGTCTGTGCTTAGGCTACTTGAGAACATTCTACCATTAACTTCCAGTAATCCCATATACTATTATCTGACACTAAGCAGGCTGACTATATGGAGATGTAGATAGAAAGAAGTAGAATAAGCAGGATGTGAATGTAAGAGTTGGTGTGGTGGGATAATGGGGAGGGGCATTGTGAAATTTTCAACTTCAGATACGCTTATCACAACTTTGCTTCTGTTTGTCTGCACTGTTAGTATAGGATAAGTATCTGAAGCTTTTAACATGACAGTGTATCCAGATCTCTGTGTATTTCTTTTGACCATGTTATCATTGTCTTTGAAGCAACGGGTGTTAAATAGCATTGTATCATTGCTTGAGAGAATATATTAGATCAGGGAACTGAGAGTGAAAGTGTTATCTCTTATCATCATTTTCAGTTGTGAACACACTAGAAGATTAGATACGCATGCAAAGTATTTGATAAAGTAATGTCAGACCATTGTTGAAAACCTTTTGCCAATTTATATACTCCCACTGGCAGTGCATCATGTTTCCAGCATCCCTTTATTACACACACACACACACACACACACACACACACACACACACACACACA